ATGATTGTCAACAAGTTGCAACAATGTTGATGGTTCAACAACTTGTTAACAATATTGTTCACGGGGTGCAGCACAACATTGTTCGCTCCTGTTTTGAACAACTTGCATCAACATGATGATTTTTACGCGTGTATATATCCCAAGGTTGGCGACTAAATACAAATTTAAAACTGTATACACAAACTTAATGACGAAAAAACTCGTATATAAACATCGAAATTCATTAAAAAAACTAACTCACTAAGGTAAGAAATAACTGTAATACTTCTACATTGTGTTTTTTCTTCTCTCATCACTTTAAAACGAGTTAATTTTGCGAAAATTCCGAGGAAAATGGCTCAATTTGGTCAAAACTATGCGGGATGACTGCCCCCGGCGATACGTCACAAAATAAAGCTCTCTGATTTGCTGAAAATGTTTATAATTTCAAAAAGCTCTCCGATTGGCTGGCTGAAATTTCCCAGCGAATCAGAGAGCTTTATTTCGTGATGTAACGCCGGAGCCATCATCACAGAGTAAGGATATACTCTGTGCCATCATCCCGCATAGTTTTGATCAAATTGAGTTGATGAATTTTCCTCGGAATTTTCGCAAAATTAACTCGTTTTAAAGTGATGAAAGAAGAAAAAAATACAATGTAGAAGTATTACAGTTATTTCTTACCATAGTGAGTTAATTTCTTTAATGAATTCCGATGTTTATATACGAGTTTTTTCGTCATTAAGTTTGTGTATATAGTTTTAAATTTGTATTTAGTTGCCAACCAGCGGTGTCAAGTAACGAAGTAAATGTACTTCGTTACTGTACTTGAGTACTATTTTTGAGAAGTGAGCATGTAACAAAGTAAACTTTTTCTGCAGTACTTTTACTTGGAACGAAGTCGTTATAAGAAGTAACGTTTTACTTCGTTATTTTCATTTTGTGGCGAAGTATTTCGTTACTTTCTAACTTTTGTTTAATTTTACGTGATTTATTTCTGGTTTATTTTAATTTCGGGAAAGGTAATACTACCTCTACATGCGTCTGGGATCTCTCGTTTGTGACTTACTTATAAGAATTTTTTATTTAATGGATTTCTTAAATCTTCAACGGGGTCTGGAAAGTAGACCGTGCCGTGAAATATTGTATATTTATAATGCGTGTGCTGTTTTGTGTTTTTTGTATCTCAAACCATGAATGGAGAAGTCCTCCCCCCCCCCCCCACACCCAACAAACTT